TAACTCCCTTATCGGGGGCCCCTGTGCTCCCGTCCGTGGCTACCAGTTCATCAACATCAGTATCGACCTGACCGAAGAGGGTGAGCGATGCGTTGATGAAGTGGCCGACCACGTATTCCAGTACCTGGCCATGCTGAGGGAGAGAGGGCCACAAGAGTGGGTGTTCGAGGAGTGTCGTCAGCTGCGTGAGATGTCGTTCCGCTTCAAGGACAAGGAAAAGCCAACAAACTACGCTACTAACCTGGCAACGCTGCTGTACTACTATCCGATGGAAGAAGTTCTTTCTGCGGAATACATCACGGACAAGTACGACCCAGAGGTGCTAAAAAAGGTGACTGACCTCTTGAATCCCGACAACGTGCGCATGATTCTAGTTGGAAAGGTGTACGAGTCCGAGTGTGATTCTACTGAGCGTTGGTATGGAGTGCAGTACAACGTTCAAGACATTCCGGAAACTACCCTGGAAAGATGGCGCAACATAGAGTCCAACGCTGCGCTGCACTTGCCAGAGCCAAACGAGTTCATCGCCTCAGACTTTGACATAGTGGAGCGGGACGCAGAGGCGCCGAAGGTGCCCGTCATGATCTCCAACACGCCACTCTGCCGTGTGTGGTTCAAGCAGGACGACACGTTCAAGCTGCCCAAGTCCATCGTCAAGGTTGAGCTCTTCAACCCACTGGCCTACTCGGATCCACATATGGTCAACGTGACACAGCTCTTCACGATGCTCTTCAAAGACGCCTTGAACGACTACGCTTATGCAGCAAGCGTGGCTGGCGTCCGCTACAACTTGGGGCTCAGCCGGCGCGGCATGATGATGGAGGTGGCTGGGTTTAGTCACAAACTTGACGTTCTTCTGCGCAAAGTCATGGACGTGCTGGTCGACTTTAAAGTTGACCGAGAGCGCTTTGACATTCTGAAGGAGAAGTACCTGCGGTCCTTGCGCAACTTCTCAGCGGAACAGCCGTATGTTCACGCCGCTCACAAGATGCATGTTGTTCTCTCGGAGAAGTACTGGGAGGATGAAGATCTGTTGGAGGTTGCTGACGAACTGACGGCGGAGGCCGTGGAACGTCTTCTACCGCTGCTGCTCAGCAAGCTTCATCTCGAGTGCCTTCTGGAGGGAAATCTGACTCGCGATCGTGCCCTAGAGCTCGTGCAGGTCGTCGAGACACGACTGCGCGATGGGTTTGGCACACGTCCGATACCTGCAGCTCTACAGACTATTGATCGCGAGACGATGCTAGATGATGGCAAGTATTACATGCTTCAGAAGTCCAACAAGGTTCACAAGAGTTCCAGCATTGACGTCTATTATCAGTGTGGCCTCCAGAGTGTGCGTGACAACACATTGCTGGACTTGCTGGTTCAGATGCTGAACGAACCATGCTTCGATCAGTTACGTACCAAGGAGCAGCTAGGCTACATTGTGTTCTGCACTGTCCGTCGCTCGACGTCTACGCAAGGCCTGCGGGTCATCGTCCAGTCGGACAAGCCGCCTGAATACGTTGACCGGCGTATCGAGGCCTTCCTGCACAGCATGGTGGATCACCTGCGTGACATGAGCTCCGAGGAGTTCTCCAACCACAAGGAGGCTCTCAAGACACGCAAGCTGGAGAAGCCCAAGAACCTGGTGGAAGAGTTCACACGGCACTGGGACGAAATCGTGATCCGACAGTACTGCTTCGGTCGTGAGCTGGATGAGGTTGAGCAACTGAAGACCGTAGAGCGCGAGGAACTACTCAAGTTCTTTGAGACGCACATCTGTCACACGGCGCCGAGGCGCCGCAAGCTGGCCTCACACGTGCTCTCGACGCTGTGTGAGGACTTGTCGCCGTGCCTGCCAGATGGTCTCTGTGCGCCGCCAGTCTACCAGGACGCCGAAGAAATCATGAACGTCCCTGCGTTCAAAGCGATTCACGGACACTTCCCACACGTGCCTCCGGCTGTCGATGTCACCGTGGCTTCCCCGCAGGCGAAGCTGTGAGGCTGACTCCCACCGGCGAGCTAGTTCAAGCGGCATCTTGCACCTCGTGGGTGCCTTCTACGACTCTAGTCATACTCTTCGAGTGTGACCTAACGACCTCCGTTATTTGCTTTCACCGTTCGGACAATCATTCATTTATGGCGTGCGTGTGTGATGATAAGTGTCATACGGTCGAACATCATTTTTGTCAGGTGATTTTGAGGCCAACATCATAGTGTGGCATGCGTGCTCGCGTCTTACCCGCCAGTAATTAGTAGCTCCGCCCATTCGACTGGTGTGCTCCTCTAATAATTGAAAGAAAATACCTCTTGGTGAAGGCTGGGAATCAAATTGTTAATGCTGCTTGGTAGGGGTTATACTGTGTTTAAACAAGTGATTTTATCCGTTAGGAGATAAAAGTCGTAATTTTTAATGCCAGGGGCCTTTTGTACTCGTTCATTGGGTCCATGATTGCGGCTGGTTTCTATGCGTTTAGCATATTGTTTCGTAATTATTTTGTTGCTCGCGGCTTCTCCAGTGAGTTTAGTTACTGACAGTCCCTTAAAATTTGTACAGATTTGCTCTCCCCTGATCGCATAACGGCATGACGCGATACAAAGATCAACGCAGCTCAGCGCCTCTGGTATATGTTGAAATTGCAGTACAAATATTGCTAATCGCCCACCCGAAAATAATTCTCAGATATTGCGCTGTTGGTAACTGCGGTTGCTGCGACCTCAAATCACCAGTAGCTGTAGTCCAGCGTTGTGAAGCCTTGCGGACATGCTCCGTGGCTCGTGTCAATATCGTCCGTTTGGGGTATTTTGCGTCTGGTGCGCTTGAAACAAGTACCTACTTGATTCGGTTGTTTCTTGTCTGTTTACCCATGTCGACGAGGCACATTTTTGTTGGCTGTTAAACGGCCGTGGATTATGGTTATGACAAGGTACCTAATGAATGAATAAAGTCACGAACACCTCAATTAATTGTTTTTTATGTCATTCGTTCTTCCGCCGGCAATTCTCTCTCTCTCTCTCTCTCTCTCTCTCTCTCTCTCTCTCTCTCTCTCTCTCTCTCTCTCTCTCTCTCTCTCTCTCTCTCTCTCTCTCTCTCTCTCTCTCTCTCTCTCTCTCTCTCTCTCTCTCTCTCTCTCTCTCTCTCTCTCTCTCTCTCTCTCTGTCTCTGTCTCTGTCTCTGTCTCTGTCTCTGTCTCTGTCTCTGTCTCTTTTTTTATAAATTTAGTCCGAACCTTTTGATGGGAAGGATTCACAAGGACAGAGCCACCGCTAAGCGAAGCTTGTTGCGATGACCCTGCCCTCTACCCTCCGATCGCGCAATTCCGATTCTATGGCAGAATTTAGAGTCCAAAGTTTAACGTGCGCACAAAGCCGCGCACGGCCGGTCCCCTCGCTGACTTCGCCTGGCTACGGCCTGCCACCAACCGCAGTCATACCTGTCAGGAGGCCCATAAATGTCGAGCGCCCGTCGCGCTTCGAACCCGGACTGTCATAACCGGGAACGCGTGCTCTCACCACGCGGAGTCCAACGCTCTAACCAACTGAGCTACGGGACCGGTCAATCAGAGTCTCTGTCTCTGTCTCTGTCTCTGTCTCTGTCTCTGTCTGTCTCTCTTTCTCTCTCTCTCTCTCTCTCTCTCTCTCTCTCTCTCTCTCTCTCTCTCTCTCTCTCTCTCTCTCTCTCTCTCTCTCTCTATCTCTCTCTCTCTCTCTCTCTCTCTCTCTCTCTCTCTCTCTCTCTCTCTCTCTCTCTCCCTCTCTCTCTCTCTCTCTCTCTCTCTCTCTCTCTCTCTCTCTCTCTCTCTCTCTCTATCGCGGCTCTTTATTCTTTGCATATTTCTCTTTTCCTCTCTCGCTCTCCCTCCCTCTTCAGTCCTCTACCCCTTGAATGGACCGCACTCCGCAGCCTATTTTTTATATATAATTTTCAATGTTGCTACTCAAGACCATCTACATAGATACCTAGTAACAAAGTAGGCGTACATAATTCTTGGTTATATGCATGTAATTTATAGATTGTGCCTGGCGTAGTAAATTGCAGAAATTTTAATTACGTCATATTCATTTATGACGTCATATTTAACGCGAGGAGTTCCTTAGTTATTTATGCACATTTCTGTTATCCCTGATGCCTTCCCTGTTGTTGATTTGTGCAGGGCACTAAAAAACATCAATTTACCGGTAAGTTTCACTGTCATTTATGTGTCTTAACGTAAATTCATGGGTTTTTTCCCATATTCATGGCATAGTACATGGATATGGGTTTTCCCATGTTGTCTTGCTGTAAAAGTGGCCACCGGTCTTAGTTAGGACGGCCGGTTTGTTTTGCGCGGCGTAGTTAGGTCGCCGCCCTCCTCGCGAGGCCGGTAACGTAAGTTAGGGCCACTAAAAAAAAAAAAAAAAAAAAAAAGAGGTTGATTTTATATACCTTGGTTGATTGTAAGCGTCTGTATACCAAGTCAATATACCCTGTGTATATCTGATTGTAAGCATAGATAATTATACACAGAGCATAGATATGTATGATTGTATCTATGATAGTATCTATAACCGCGATTGTAAGAGTGTGCACTGTGCCTACTATCGGTTAAAGGGACTGTTCCCTTCATTTGAAAATGGGCCTTGTACAAGGCCCTATCTTCAACATGGAGCGACCGTTAGTGTGACGTCACCTCGTTTAGTCATTCTGATTTAAATGGGTTTGTTCGTTGAAAAATCGCTTAAAACTTGGTCTGAACTTTGTTGTGGTGCCTACAGAGTAAAAAGAATCAGCTTTATGACAGTAATGTGGCCTGGGGAAGGAGGTAATTTTGGGCTGTGACGGCACATATTTGAAAGTTTGTGTTTGGAATATGGGAAGCCTAAGATGTTTAATGAAAAATAAATGCCAGAACCGTGTTCCTGGTCATCCAATCTATAAAGTCGGGCACAATTTAAATGGTTTTAACAACCTTTTAGAAGGTGGGATAGTCCCTTTAAGTTGAACGCAAGGCCCTATATACTGTTGAACGACGCCGGTGGGGGTGGGCGCCGGAAGGCATATTAGTTATGTGATAGATGTGATATTTGGAACTTCTCCCCCTCCGTGAGCCTTCTACATGCTGAACGTCACATGTGAATTTCACGAACCTTGATCAAATCGCCCCAGGCGCCTTCACCGTCGTCCAAGTTGAAGCCTCTTGCCGAAAAATTAAAGGTGTGTGCAAGGCAGTATATACCGGTGTGTGTTCTCCCAAACCCAACCAAAACCTGACCTAACCTTACCTAAGTCTACAACCTTTTTCTCAATTTTGACAACTTCTCACAAATTGGCGCAAAGTCGGAAACCAATAGAGCTACGGAACTGCAGAAAAGCGCATTCGATAGATTTTTTAAGGTCTTTCTGAGCATTGTTCTCAGATGTGACTTAAGGTCAACGGTCTAGGCTCTAGAGGGCAAAAACTCAAAATTTAAAGTTATGCCCCCCTAAACCCCCTTACATATTGACCTAGAGTCACCAAATTGGCACAGAGGCGAGATTTCCTATGGGTCTATCTGCCCTGTAAATTTTGTGTTTATAGGTGCCACAGGAGCCAATTGCCAGGGGGTCGTACCCCCCCCCCTTCCCTCACTGTCCGGGTTATGTAAAAGGCTAAAAAAGGCCTTCGCCTGGCGAGGGTTAAAATTAAGTGAATTTTTATGCAACAACATGAAAAGAACTGGATGTTTATTATATTAATTCATCAACAAGAACTTTGGATTGCTGAGGAATGAGGATATGTATTAGACGACAATTTGCATCGGCAAATCAAGAATAACGGTCCAATTTATGGGCGTGGGATAATGGTTCCGTATGTGACAGTGATTCAAAATTGAGCCATATCAGCCTTGAGGAAGGGCTAGAAATATGTTAACAGTGTCTAAAACCGTGTCTTATCAGCTAAAACTTGCTAATTTTGCTCTCAATTACCGCGTTTTCAGCACTGCCGCGGCCGCCGGTGCCCTGGCCAACGATGTTCATATTTGTTCATTTTCCGATCATTTTACTAGGCTGTTGATGCGCAATAAACATTCTGGAATGGAATGGAAAAATGTTTTGGTGCTCTGCCACCAGAGAGGCCGCTTGGTCGCCGGGGCTAGTGTTAGGGAAAAGGCAGTGTCCTATCCAGGAATACTTCATCCATGTTTCACTAGTTCAGGAGTCAAATGAACCATAATTTGACCATGAAAGGTCAAATTGAAAGCTTACCTCAGGATAAAGCCATGACCTGACCACTTGATCTGACCAAAAGGTCGTAGCTGAGTGTACTCTCCACTTGCATTCACTCATCCATAGCTATTATTCCATAAGCTGATTTGGGTGAATGCTGGCTGCGTCTGCTGCCCAGTGTCGAGCTGAGTGGGCTCTCCGCTCGGTCCCAGGCCGGAGTGACTGGGTGTGACCGGGTCGACTGCGACCATGTCGGCCCCGGCGTCTCGGCCTCACTCGCCGGAACAGCCGCCGAGTCCGGCCGACAGCGCCGAGGGCGAGGACCTCGGGCCGCCGCAGACTGCCCTCTTCCTGCGCCATGTGTCCCAAACGGTGAGCACAGAGATAGATAGCAACCATTGCATGTTTCATGGTTTGCGTTATGTCCTGTTTGGTTTGAATAGTGCAGAAGTGATCAATGTATCACAGCGTTCAATGCTGTACACTTTGGAAGTTTATTTGCGTGTTATAATGTAACGATAATGTTCTGGCATTTGATTATTGCGTCTGACTCGTCTTCTCGTCTTCGTTCTGGTTAGTACTCGTTTTCGCTCCTCGACTGCAGTATGTGACCGCCTCGTTCCGGCAGACGCGGCGCGCGCACTGCGCCGCGCTGGACCACCTGTACACGCGCGACTGGGCGTGGCGTTCGGACGGCGGGCCCGCTCAGCAGGCCCGGCTGCTGCTCGTCAACCCCATCAGCAGACCGGCCCGGTACGTGACGGCCGGTGGCGCCGCCGACATACGGGTGACGTCGGCGTTTGGGGTAACTGATGTCAGTGTGCGGGGTGATTGGTGTTTAGGATGACTGACATTGAAGTGTGGGATGACTGATGTCAGTGTATGGGGTGAATGAATGTCGGCCTGTGAGCTGAGCTCGATTTCGGTGTGTGAATTGATGTCTGGGTGGGACATTGACTGACGTTTGTATGTGATATAACCAGGGCTGCGGAGTCGATGGATTTTAGGGTGACTCCGATTCCGACTCCGACTCCGGCTTCAAAAATCGACTCCGACTCCGACTCCAACTCCGACTTCGACTCCGACTCCGGACGGTTCTATTAAAATACATATCATGATATGGAAGCTCATAATGGATATGTTTTTATCTTGCCTGAAACGATCTCTTGTGCTTTCCAAGGGGTTGCGTTGCAAATTTGCATTAAAAATAATATGCATAATTAAAAAGCAGGTTCTGGGGAATTCTGGGTCTTGTGCTTCTTTCGCTGTAAACGCTCGTCCAAAACAGAAAAATGACCTTTTTTCGACAAAATCTAATTTCGAGCGCAGTATCGTCAATTAAACAGGTGCAGTGCATGACGCTAAGCCATGCAGCGTTAACCCGGCCGGGCCCGGGAGGTAATCCCAACCACCGCAGCCCGGGGGGGGGGGCGTTTTTCGCCCCCCCCCGTCTAACTCCGTAAATAAGGGAGCTACGGAAACAAAAGCGATACCAAACAAAAGGTCCTTACGAGAAGATTCTAAAGCACCTAAAGTTTTTGACCTCAGGTCAATTTTCAAGGTCAGAGGTCAAGGTCAAAGGCAAAAACCGGAAGTTAAGCCTTCTAGAGGACGGCAGGCGGCATCAAACCGGCAAAATTGGGTGTCAAACGAAAGAAGAGAATCTGAGGATTCCGAAAATGTGCTCAAAATCAAAGGTCAAGGTCAAGGTCACGCTCAAAATTGACCTCAAACTTGGCACTTTTTCGCACTTCTTGCGTGCTAACTTTCAAGATGTTTTGAAATGTTTTGAGGTTTATCAGTTCCCTATTTGTGGTTTCTCTTACGATACAAGGCTGCTCAAAGGTCAAGGTCACTGAAGAGTATCCCTGCTAGAGGCTATTTCACTAATTCAAGTTAGTAATAATAAATCAGACAATTTTGCCATCCGGAAGCTCTAAATGAAGGTTTGGAGGAAAATTGATGCCAGATTCGTGAACAGCGGGTACAAATCCATCATAAACGACCTTTCATGTGTCAAGGTCAACCAGAGGTCATTCGAGGTCACATGAGGTCAACATAAAACTTAACCTTTTCCGAACAAAATATATATCATTCGAAGCGGCTTGACAAGGCGAATGCGATGGTACCACTGCTGTAGTTCTAGGACCATTTTTGTCGAAGTTATTTGCGAAAAACTAAAACCACATTTCGGGGTCGTTGACCTCTGGGGGTCGACGGGGTCGTTGGTCTCTGACCTCAGGTCACCAAAACTATTTTTTCTATTTTTTCTCTAGGTCAAACGCTACACAACCGTGCTCGTAATTTGTCTTTATCTCTAAAACTCTATTTTTAGCAGCTATTTGAAGTTTGCGTCTGTGACGCCGAAGTTTGCCGTGCAGTGGTCTAGAAAAATGGACCTTGTGACGTCATCAAGGGGGCTAGGTCCAAATTTTTACGTCAGAAGATATCAAATTGATGGGAGAAAAGGTACTGAAAGTTTCGCTTTCCTATCCCTAAGCGGTCGGGAGCTATCGCAAATATTCGCCAGGGGGGGGGGGGCGAAAAACGCCCCCCGGGCCCGCGAGGGTTAACTCCGACTCCGGAGTCGGAGTCGGTAGGATTTTGGCGACTCCGACTCCGATTCCGACTCCAGGCAGAACTGTCGACTCCGACCGACTCCGACTCGGCAGCCCTGGATATAACTGTCACCAGAGGTCAATGCTTGGGATCACTGTTGTCAGTATTTAGGTTGACAGACGAATTGTGTAAACTGACGTCTTTGCGACGTCAGATGTCCGCAGTCGCACAAGGAGCGTTGTCGTTGTCATACGACGGTGCGCTCTGTCACTGGCCCTACTAGGAATGCGATAAAAGGGATTTACGCGATACCGATATCAGATGCCTGCAACCAAAGATAACAGGCTGCTCAGTCATGGACGATGAACATAATGATAGCAAGCTGAAACTTGATTTGCCATGCGTCTGCTCGTTTCTTGCTATATTGTGTATTATTGTTCTTTTTTCTAAGTTCGACCCTCACCGTAAACGTCTCTTTGAACACAGCACGATAATTTCTAGCTGAATAACTGACAAAACTGGTTGGCGCACAAAGTGCACAGGAGTAGATGACCTGTCAGGAATAACTGAACTAATAATGCATCGCACGGCGTTTTACACAACAGTACATCGTCGGTGTTCAAAACTTATTTCGAAAATATTATTCATATCTCCAATACAATGTGCGCTGACCAGTTTTCTCAATATGTACTTAAGCTAGCAATTATCATGCTATGTTCAAAAAGATGTTTACAGTGAGGGTCGAACTTAAAAAACGAACTATAGTACCAAGTAAGGGCGTGTTGATCTGTATCCTGATAGCCACCGCATTCCCTACTCAAAGACACTAATTCAGCTGCGAATAATGAATCTTGTTATCGTCTTCTGTTGGTCTCGGCAGTGAGAGTACCCACATTGACGTGGAGACGGTGGACGAGCCTGAAAACCTCACCGAGGCGGACGAGGCTAAGGCTACGGCCGCCATGGACGAGTGTCAGGAGCACGTGGCGTCGGCGCGGGACGTGTCCGACGACCTGATCGAACAGCTCGACCAGTGAGTGGCGCCGGCAGGCGGGATCGGCGACGGGTCCGCCGGGGGAGGCGTGAGCTAGTGGCAGACACGGGTGTTGTGCTAGGGAGGCTGAGCGCTGACTATAATCGGAGTGGTTGGGTAAATGTGTCGTTAGTCCGTTTTTGTGCACTTAAACGACCTAACTTTTCTAACTTTTTTTAACGTAACGTTTTCTAGCGGCCCCGCTGCCCGTGTCGGCACCTCCCCTCTGGGCTCTGAGCGGCCGTCTCGCCCGGCCAGGTCGTCGTGGAGCGCGCCGCGCCGCCAGCTGCTGCGCCGGCTGCTGGCGGCGCTCAGCAGCTACCAGCTGACCCGGCGCGCCGTGCTCGGCCGCCGCGGCGCCGCCTTCGTAGCGCGCGTGCATGCCGACCGGTGTGCGGCGCGCGTGCGCCGGGCGCTGGCGGCCGTGGGCTGGCAGCGACAGCTCTGCCAGTGGCTACACACGCTGCTGCTGCAGAAACTGGGCAAGGACATGCTGGCGCTCTACCTGGAGGTGCTACAGGTGAGGGTGCCAGACGACTTCATGATCGGTTTGAGTGAGCCATGTGCCCTGGTCTAGTGATATTGCTGTGTTACGATTTAGGATGCTGAGAGCTGTGACCACGTATGTTCAAGATTAAGCAATTAAATTTTGATACATTTTTACGGAGTTTTAGTAATGTCCATTAGAGGGTGATTTAGGCGCAGCGTGAAGAAAGGACTCGTTTATGGGCGTGTGACATTCTGGATAGTTTTGAACAGACGTCCGTTCGACGGTCCAGTCATGTGAAATATGTAGTCTGTACGGCCGTCCGCCTGTGCCGGCAGACGCTGACCAGTAAGGTCCCCTCTCTGGTGACCCGGCTCACGCCGTCGTCGGGCTCGGCGCGCCACGGCCCGCTGTCGGCAGAGGCGCTGGCTCCGCTGCTGCGCCGGCCCTGGGACCCGGCCGCGCACCTCGTCATCCAGCACAAGCCGGTGAGGATGATAAGGCGTTCAGCTGCCGCCGCCGCTCGAGTGCGCTGTGCTCTTTCAGGAATCAGGGTTGCTGTGATTCTTTGTCTTTGACTAATACCGCAGTTGTATTATGTATTACATGCTGTATTTGTGTCATTTCATTGTTGCAATTTTCCTATTTCGGTAGAGCTATGCTATGGGCGCCGATGACCACTGTAGTCCGGGCGCCCAAAACCCCAATTCATCATCATCGTCCGCATGACCTCGTATCTACACGTCTGTCCTCTGCAGAAGCGTCTTCCGAACAACCCGCTTCTGGTGCTGGTGCCGTCGTCTCCGTGCCACGGCGGTGACGGCTACGGCACCAGCCGACTCGACTTCTGGCACCGGCAGCTCTCTGCGCTGGGCAAGGTGGTGGCCATCAGCGAGTGTGAGGGTGAGCGCCGACTGTGCAGGGATACGAGGAGAAGGGGACTCCGCAACGAGTAGTAGCGTGAGGGTCTGTTTCATCGGGCCAGAATGAGGCACCCAGGGTTACATCAGCTCAGATCTCACTGGAACGGCGGCGGATGGCGTGAGTGTAGCTGCGACTTGCGAGGCACCTGAATCTCTCTGGCTGATCGAAACCCGCATTTTAGTTGTATGTCGCAGTTGCAATGTGACAGCATGCAGCACGTATCCCGTGCCGTGACACACCAGCCCGGCACCCGAGCTGACGGTGCGCCCTGTCCGTGCTCCGCAGGCGGCGCGCCGGCGCGAGGCATCTCGGTCAGTGAGAGCCTCTCGCACATCCTGTCGGCGTGTCGCCAGCAGGTGTCTGAGCTGCGCCGGCCCGGCCGGCCGCTGGTGCTGCTCGGCTGGGGCGCCGCCGGCCTGGTGGCCGCCCACCTGGCGCTGGTCGAGCCCGTCAGCGCCGTGGTGGCGCTGGGCTTCCCCTACTGGTCGCCGGCCGGCCGGCGCGGCGAGCCCGACGATCCGCTGCTCGAGCTGCGCGCCCCCTCCCTGCTGCTGGTCGGACAGGCGGCCGCCGACGCCGCGCCGCACGAGCTCGAGCTGATGCGCGACCGGATGCGCGCCGACACGGGCCTGGTGGTGGTGGGCGGCGCCGACAGTCGGCTTCTGGTGAACGGCGGCAAACTGCAGCGGGAGGGGCTCACACAGAGCATGGTCGACCGAGCCGTGCTGGTGAGACTGGGAGTCGGGACGGCGCCGGTGTGGAGAAAGTGTAGAGCGAGGGACAACACGGGGAGGAGGGCGCAGGAATCTTGGAGCGGTGCTATGATTGGGTGGCTCATTTGTTCCAGCCAGAAGTGAGGGATCTACAGCTGATTACATGTTTGGAAATGTTGCAGTTATATTAGCCAACACTCTGAATGTTAGGTGACTGACGATAGTCCATGCCTCTGGTACACCAGTCTAGTCAATAACCGCGCCGCCCCGGCCGTCCCCCGCAGGAGGAGATCTCCGGGTTCCTGTCGGGTATTCTGGCCGAACAGGTGGACGGCCAGCGGCCCATGTTCTCCCGGCCGCCGACGCCGCCCCAGCAGCGGCCAGAGATGCCGAGCAAGGCCCAGCCGCGCGAGAAGCGTCGCAAACCGATCGGCGCGGCGGCCGCCTCCCCGACCGCCGCCGCCCAGCAGTCAGCCAAGCGGAGAGGGGACCGACCGCCGAGATCCGGTGAGTGACACAGTACTTGGATTTAATGTTTCAATTGGAAATGCTCCAAATATGTCGCTGAATATCTAGTCGAGACAATTATTTATCTAGTAAATTCTTTCCCGAGTCTGCAGTGTGTACGTGCCTTCGATCACTCAGCGCTCATTTCGCTTTTCTCTTGCGTGACAGCGACCCGGCCGAGAAAGCATCGTCCACGACCGCCCGAGCAGGAGTCGCCGCCGCCGCCGCCGCCGCCGCCGCCGCCGCCACCGCCGCCTCCTCCGCCCCCGCCGCCGCCGGCCGCCCCCGCCCCCGCCGGAGGGGACGACTCGCTGTCGGATGCACCCATCATCGACTTGATCCAGGAGCCGGACCCGGAGCCGGAGGTGGTCGTGGTGACGCCGGAGCCGGAGCGGTCGGCCGCTCCGGCGCCTGTCCACAACTCTGTCAAGCTGCTCACCACGCCTCCGTACATGGTGAGACGGCCGGGCGCGGGGCCGGTCACACAGCGAGAGTGAGAGGGTGGTCGGCGGGAAAGGTGTTGTTTGTTCTCGAGATTCAATTTGTGAGAGTAGGTAATCACAGCGTCTGTTATCAGCTCCTAACACGCCACGGCAAGTCGAATCTGGTGGGGAAGTTGACCGCAGCGATCGGCCGTTGTCCACAGCCGAGCCAGTCGTACTCTGGCCAGCGGCCGTCGCGGGACGGCGGATGGTCGCCGGCTGCCTATCCGTTCGGCGGAGGCGGCTTCCGCTCCCGCTCGGGCCGGGCCGGGCGGCTGAAAGTCACCCAGCGGCCGGACACAGGCGCCACCGGCGGCACGGCGGGCCCCGGCCGACTCAGAGGTGGGTCCGGGGAGCGAGCCCGCCCCCGCCCCGCCCGACACAGTGCCAGTCGTCGGCTCAGTAGCATCGCCACTCTCCGGGCGATTGGTGTACCAACTCGAGTCAGCTCTCCTGTCATGTTATTCCAAACATAAATTGTCTTTATTTTAATTCCAGGTGAACATTTTTTTCAAAGAAGCACGACTCTTGATGTTATACCACAATTTTGAATAGCTCGATACTCATGTCGCACCTCAGGTTTTCAACGGTTTAATTTATGAACACTAAATTATGCGACGAAGCCCGTCTGTCGTCCACTACAGCCGTTTGTTGCCGTCGTTACTGGTTGATTCAGTGGCTATTCATTCTTTGCTGTCTTCCTGTCCGGTCGACTCTCCTGCCGCAGTCCGTCATGCCTGGCTGCCAATTCCCGTGTACACTGTGTGATCAACTGACAGTATCGTACCTTCGGCGACATCCATCGATAGCACGCTCATGAACCGGCCAGGGTCGTGGGGCATTGCGAACTGGGGCGTGACGGTCGGCCTCTGTGACCTGACCTCTGTGCTGCAGACTGGACGTGACCCCCACTGACCTAGCCTGTGTGTGCCGGCAGCGCGCGGCCGCGGCCGGTCCCGCCTGCCGCAGTACGGCGTGGCGCGAGCTGACCCCCACTGACCTAGCCTGTCTGTGCCGGCAGCGCGCGGCCGCGGCCGGTCCCGCCTGCCGCAGTACGGCGTGGCGCACGACTTCGGCGTGCCGGGCTCGCTGCTGCCCCCGTCCAGCGGCCCCGACCGGCTGACCGGCGCCGCGATGGCGGGCGGGTCTGCTGCCGCCGGCCGCGCCCACACCGGTGAGTGCCACGCCGCCATACCGCCATACCGGCGGTACAATACCATACCGGCGGGCGGGGGAGTGAAATCTGAAAGGATTCCCAGTCGTAATTTATGTAACGTTGAATTGTAATCACGAGTACCCGGAACGCAGTAGGGATAAATTCAGCTTGTGCTCAGATGACATGTGATGATAGCGGGTATGTTTGCTTCCCAACTGCCGTGTAGGTGTTCGGATCGCTCCCAGCGTGTTGGCGGTGTGTCTGTCTAGTCTCCCGTCCCTCTGCCTGTCCTGTCCTGCCCCCCCCCCCCCCCGGGTCTCTCCGCCCGGTGACGCCGCTCTCTGTCTGTTCCAGCCGGATCCGGGCTGCGCTCCCCGAGTCACTCGCAGCAGGTGGTCTACGTCCAGTCGCCGTCGGGCGTGGTGCGCGCCTGTGCGCCCAGCCCGCGCCTGGCGGTGCCCACAGCGCGCGCTGCGACGCCGGGCGTCCCGGCCGAGCGCCGGCTGCTGCCTGGCCCCGGGCGCGGACCCGCCGTCAGTCGCCAGGTGGTGGTCACACGCGGCCGCTCGCGCACCGTCACCTACGTGCCCAGCGCGCGGCCGGCGCAGCACCAGTTGGCCGCCGGGCCGGGCCCGCCGCGCTATGTGCGCTCGGCGCTGTACCCGCGACCGGGTCAGCCGGCGCCGCGACGGGAGGGCGCCGCCGCACCCCCGACACCGGGCGCACGCGACTGAGACAGGGGTCGGAGCGGTATACCGTGTGAGCGGCCCGGCCCACGAACACGGTAACCCGATGGTAATGGGCGGGGAATGTTTGTTAGGTGTTTGAAAATGTCAATTTTGTGAGATGCGGCGGCGCGCTTAGGTAACATATTTTTCTGTCTGCGCCATCGTAATACATTTTTTTGCGTTTCCTTCTTTTTAACGAAACATTACTCCTCGCCATCTACCGTTTTAAAAACGCCATCAGACTCCTGAGTTGTCCACTGAGTCCTAGGCTCGACATAAGTTCTCTGTGTTTATTGTTCGGATCGCGTGTATCATCTGGCCAGAGAAGTGCTGCATGGTGCAGTCTGCTGTCGCGCTGCTCACACTACATAGTTATATCAACAGGAGCCAGACATGCACTGGCTGCCAGCGGTAAAGGTTAACTTTCTTTTGGAATAAACAGCGGATCGAATTTTTGAAAGTACTCCTGTGACGACGGATGTCCGCTGCAGCTGCCCTCCCGTCCATGATCTCCTTTTTCCCTCTGAGAGCTAGTCCGGGTGAATCAATGGGACTGGTTCGACGGTATAGTGTATTCAGCTAACATGCGATGCCACTTTGGAATGTACAGGGACCCGCAGTTGCTTCTGTACACACTAGTATTTCAGCGTATTCTTTGCCTGTGACACCGTTGGAGGCGAATTGGGAAATGATTGTGTGCTTATTGAAACCACCATCTGAAGGGCTTTAAACTGATGTGCTGCTCTCCTAATTCAATGAACTTTTTATGGCTATATCAGCAAAACATTGTTTTCAGCGCTTTTTCCTGCCCCATTCCTTCTGAAACCTGGAACCGCTTATTCCATTTACTCCTGCCATCTGACGATGGTCGTGCTGACTACTAGTTCCGGCGCTAGTTACTGCTCCAGTTTTGCACCCGGCACAAACTCGGGCGGCGCCGGCCCGTGGCTCGACCAGGGAGGGTCGGACCGAGCCGACTGCCTGGGGCGCGGTTAGATCGGACGCCCTGCTGGGGAAGGGGACGGGAGTGAGGGGGAGGGGAGGAGGTCGTCACGTGGTCCGTCCAAGCTCGCAGACGACCTGTCCTGCGCCCAGCGATGTTCCGTGATCCAAAATGGCACGAGAGCTGTGGAATGCCTGGAGGAGACGCTTCGAGAGCGAACTTCAGCAGCACTAATTTACCATATTCTGTGGAGATAAATGAATATTAATATTATCTTAATGAATATTATCTTAATGCAGAAAAAAATTGTATGCCTAAACTGTCTAAGCTGTATCTTTTTAAAAATTGGAAATAGGATTATTTTTAGGGACTTATAGGTTTCGTATATACAGTGAATTGTGTTACATTGAGCCGTTTCGCTGTTATGGTTACTAACTGAAGAGTTATCCTTTTTTCTCACATGGAATGACAATACAATAACAATACGAATAAAACCAGACGTTTCGCACAAAAAAGTGCCTCCGTCAGTGGCAAAAAATAAGTTATTAGGCATACATGTTTTCTTTCAATAAAATTGATGAAGTAGTTATCTTTATTTTTTTAAGATATATTTTCAGCAGTTTTTAAGCACATCATGGACGCTTATAAACATTTGTGTATTTTATCGGCAACCCGGCTGGCCAGACCGAGACGGTGCCGCATATAGCTCTCATCGATGTTAAACCTATACACTTATTTTTCTTCACTGACGAAGGCACGTTGTTGTCCGAAACGTTTGGTTTTATTCGCATTGTTTTTATATTGTCATTGTCCGTGAGAAAAACATACTCATATGGACTGGTCTCAGTTCATGTAGAAATTGTTGCATATTCATCAACACAGATAAAATGAATATTAGCCGTCACCACACATATAAGAAGAGTTAAGTAGACCGCGCCCCCTGTTTTTCACCAATAAATCGCGGCACAGCGAAGGATTGCGACGATTCTTTGGTGCCCTGGAGTTAAACAATTTTACAACTTCCCGGAAAATTAAATAGCCCTTATCATTTTTCCATCTTGTCTGAGAATTTTAAATCCCTGAACCAAATTACCTTTAATCTGTGATTATTTTTCTCAAGATCATGTCAGGCCAGAATAGCAATTTAAAGTCAGCGCACATCTTCTGTTTCCATAGTCGTTTCGTGATTAGCAACGTGACAGCATGTGAAATATACTATCTAATGTTTGTCTCATTGATTGTTGTGGGTGCCAAGGTGACGTGAAACTCAGGTTGGTCATTCACTTGAAATGATCTCGGTTAACTTCCTTAAATTTACACCTTTTTACTGTGGTTTTTAGGAAGTGTTGGTTTGAAATTTAGCACCCATTTTAGCATTTGAAAACTAGGCATACTTAGGTATCAGTTATAGTGCTTATGCAATATGTTGCAAGGCTGTAAGTGCTGGTTAACATCCTATGGATAGCCGGCAGAACGCCTAATGGGTAATCTGGCGTGACCCGTCCTACCCCAAATGCTTTGATACATCATCTTTGATCAAAGCAAGTGCAAATTTGGAGTCAGAAGCAAGCCAAGTCCCAGCGAACTTCACTTGTAGAAATTCTAGCAGGACTCAATTTTCCGTGCTTTTGGGTTATTAACCTGATCTGGGAGGTCAACCAGTGACCTAGGATCTCAGCATTGACCAGGACATAAAAATAATTAGCTTTCTCTCGTCAGCGATGACCAGGACCCTCAAATCATCGGATTTCTCTCGTCACGAGCAGCTCGCTCTTTTTATTTTTCAGCGAAGCTCTGGCTCTTTTTATCAAGGGCCGAATGGCTGAGGGTTTCTACGCCCCTCCGCTACATGTAAGACGCTGAAAAGAAATGACTAAATGGGTGAGGGTTAAATATCGATTCGTTTTTAAGTGCCGAAGCCCGAAACACTTTAATTTACTTCGATAGCAGTTTTTAAGACCAACGAGCTCGAATACTATAACTTCTTGAACAATGTAAGCACCACATAAAATGAATCGTGAGAGAAGCGGCTCAAGATTAAGGAGCTATGAGACACTTAATAAAAAACGGCATAGATTAGAAACTGCACCTAACTTGCACTGGAATTTTAAACCCTTTCGTTGCAGACAGGTATGTAGATTAAATTTTAGGATTGATTTCAGCTGATGCTCAAATGGAGCTATTCATCCGTTCATTCATGCGACCATCCAATTCCATTCATAAAAGAAGCCGGTGACAAAATTGCTCATTTTAGATAAGTGTGAAATACAAACTCACTAAAAGTTTAATGATACGGCAAATTTGACAGCTTTCATAATGAACAAATAACTTTAACAAATCAAAGTTGAGAGCCCCAAATAGGGGAGAGGTAAGATGAGCCAAGGGGCAAGTTTAGCCACCCCATGTTTCTCAGCTCCTATGGCGCTAATTGACTTGAGCATCCATGTGCCGTTCGCTTACGATGCTGCAGTCTTTCACGTGAGACGGCAACGTTCTCACGCCCAGCACCCGGTAACATGTGGTATCGCCCCTGATAACTAAGACATGTTTTGCCTTTAAAATGAGATGGTTGTTATCTGCGGTGCATGGTTATTTTCCTTAGCGGGTGTCATTAATCGAAAATGGCCACGGGTGGGGCAGGATGAGCCATTTTCACCTGGGGAAGATGAGCCGGATAAGCCATTGTTGTCTCCGCTGTCGAAAACCAAACTGAGCTGCGCTTGTTTCTGCTGAATAAAAATGGTAGGAAACAATTTTTCTTTGTTGATTACACAAGTTGTATGTGATTTGCAGATTATCTGAAGGATAAAATGATTTCTTCCGTGATAGAAACCTTGACGAGTTATTGGAAGGCTTAAAACAGTCAGTTTTTGATGGAGGAAAAAAACTTTGCCATAAGTATGTATGCCATGGAGTAAATAAAAGAGCGAGCCCACTCTTCGCCGCGCCCGGGAAAAGAAGAGGTTCGCTTTTTCTATCCATGCTCAACTATCCCCACGACGTGTCTCAACTTACCCCGCCCATGGGGTAAGATGAGCAACGTGCAAGATGACTTTTGACGTAGCCTTTTCAGTACAAAAATAAGCGGTATGGAACATTTCTGGCCACCATTACATGCGCAACTGACCACTCTGTCCGTCCAACCCGTAAACGCAGAAAAAATGATCAGTAAGTTAGCCTGTAGCTAACGAAAAACAAAATGCGGCTCAACTTACCTCATTCTCCCCTACGTAACACAATTGAGGGCATTTTTTAGGCCATCACAGTATTTGTCAACAATTGTTTGGGGGACTGGGGAGGGTGGTTACTGGCTCATAAACTGCCCCCCCCCCAAAAAAGAAACAAGAAAGAAAACGAAACCGATCATCCGCGAAAAGAACTATTGAGCTCGAACCAAGGTGACGAATCGATTTATAGGTATGCAGGATGACTAACGATGCCACTTTTTAGGCCTGGCTACACTATGCGTTTTCTGCGTGCTTTTTTTTGCGTGTTTGCGGGTTTTGCGTAATATCGTTCTAGAAAAATAAACGATATTACGTTTTTGTGATGTTTTTTATATTTAATTCTAGTTTATTAACTTCTGCATATAGCTAATGTAAAAATTATATTATTTTTTACTTTTTCTAGAACGATATTAGGCAAAAAACGCAAACCCGCAAAAAACGCACGCATAAAACGCATAGTGTAGCCAGGCCTTTTGACTTCTTGTGTCAAATAAATTCCATCATCTGGATAGCACGTCAACGTTTGTTGCAAAATGTCGTACTTGACATTTTGCAACAAACGTATACTATTTGGCGCGACTATATTATAGCCTCATAAATGTTCTGAAACTAAAACCGTTTCTTCGCAATTAACTTGGACCACGTCATCCCAGCTTATGCACGACAAAAAATAAAATAATGCTTCAGGATCACTGGCCTGAATTCCAATGCTTAAAGTTTACTCAAAACCGGTGTGGCTGAGCCTGAGGCACTCTTCGCTACATCTCGTGACGGCCACCATTGTGTTGCATTTTTCGGTAAGCTATAAGTTAATAAGGAAAAAATTGGTGAGTGGGTTGAAAACAGCCCTCACCCTCCACACCCCCCCCCCCACCCCCTCCTTCTTCTGGAAACACAAGTAACCGAAAGATCTGGCGATGGTTTATCCACTCTCCTCTGCCGCCGCGCTGCGAGGCCTCGATTCGTTCGGTATGTGGCTTCCTGAGCGGTCCTCCCCGGAGGCAAGGTGAAAGGTCATGGCCTGTATCAGAAATTTATACGTTGCTGAATATGTTTTATAGTTCTTCCAAGGCCTTGGACACCTTTTATTATATCGGATAAGCATTGCACTTTCTTGTCATTCAATACATTTAAAGAAAACTTGATCATAATCTTATACTGCGGCAACTGTAGTTCTGTTTACGGTTGCCTCTTTATGATACGGGCCACCACCACCTCCACTGCGCTGGAGCTCTGGCGTTCTACCCCTCCCCACTACGGACCGGCCCTCGGGCTAGGTGTGTTAGTACTGAGCGCAAACCTGTAGTAGTCACGTGACTTTCATTCACGTAGCGGGAACGGAAGCTATAGGCGATACCAAGGACGGGCTCTGGGGAGGCAACCGGCGCGGAAAAATAGCACGATTGTAGTTTTAGAAGAATATCTGTTGCGGTAAGAGGAATTATACAAAACGTAGGTCCTAGGAGCAAACATGTGTTATTCCTCCATACTTTGCGCTACATTTCCTTTCTCCAATGGCCAGCACTTAGCAAATAATAGCGCCATTCTAAATTGGTAATATATGTGTACAGTAGCAACTGCGGGTCCCTGTACATGCGTAGGTATACAAATTCATAGTAAAAGCGTGCGGTGACTAGAGAAAAATACCACCACAGCCACATAAACGATCTGCTAACACTTCTTTACACTTAGATATAAATCTGACATGGAAGACAATACTTCAAAAAGCGGGTGCCGTCAGTGCCACCGAATGGCTGGCTGGCAGAGCCTTTGAGGCTGAGTATTTCATAATCGCGCTACAGTGTAACATGATTGGTAAGCGATAGCATGTCAGGAGTGCGGCTCTGGCGGGGACCGGAGGGAGGCAGCTGGCCCGGGTGAGACGGTGTGGAGCGGCCAGACACGGTCACACTCCTGCCTCGCACGGAGCCGCCCGCCGTTCCTATACAGGGTGTGCCGGACAGTGTGAACCCACCACCGTGTGGAGAGGCCGGCGGCCGCTGCGGCGCGGAGAGAGTCCAAACTGCGGCTGAGGGGCTGATCCGCCCTCTGAGCGGCTCGGTCCGGCCTGTGCAGGTCCCCAGTGCAGCTCGGTAAGGTCCCAAGCAGCTGCTCCGTGCAGCTCCTCAGCTCTGTCCGGTCTCAGTGCAGCTCCTCAGCAGCTCTGTCCGCTCTCAGTGGAGCTCCTCAGCTCTGTCCGGCCTCAGTGCAGCTCCTCAGCTCTGTCCGGCCTCAGTGCAGCTCCTCAGCAGCTCTGTCCGCTCTCAGTGCAGCTCCTCTGTGCCGTCCGGCCCGCCGAAGATGACACACTCAGCCATGTCGACAAACAGGCCCGTCTCGACCACACCTGTCGGCAGGGGCGGGGTCAGCCAGAGGTCGCTCAGAGGTCACCGACGGGACGACACTGACCGGCAACACCGTCCCTAATCGACGCCCCGTGCGTGACTGGTAGAAACACACGACCCACTTTAATTTACTTATTTACTGAAAAACATCAAATCAATTATCCTGAATTTACAGGCTGCTAACAATTATAACAGCCTTTGTTTGCTCTTCAATCGCATATAACCAGCGAGGTTTATGTATACGAGTATTCACACCCATTCCCAAATGAATAGCCCAATACTGAAGCACACCGACCATCCAATTATCGACTTTCGTTCACGGTTCATGCACCACCGGACACGGTGAACCTATCGAACTCGCGCGGCCCATGACGACGAACAAACGAGCCGGCAGTCGCGTCCTCACCGGGGATCATTTTGAGCTGGACGCTGAGCGTCTTCCAGTCGTGGTCTCCGTCGGGGAACAGCCAGTCGAGTAGCAGGTTACCGTTGTCGGTCACCACGGGGCCCTGCGGGGTGAGACCGGAGGGGGGGGAGATCAGCGGACAGCCGGATGACGGTGATGATCTGCCGTCTCCGGCCGTTGAACAATCCCGGTCCGGGGCGCCGTCGACACGATAGTAGCCAATGGAACAGACGACACACTTGCTAACAATCGAGCAACAGTGTTTTGGGAGTGGGATGGGGGCGAAACGGTGGCTCGAACGATAGAAAAATGATCATAAATGAAGCACAACGGGTAGGAAGACACACATATTCACCAAGCTTTTAGAGAGAACGAAATCATGGATAACATAACCAAATATCCACCCTAATACAGTCCTGTAAGTCGTTCTCCTGCGCCCCGCTCCACCACACGTCCTCCCCCTCCCCAGGCGCGCCGTACCGCCTTCTGCTTGGCCAGTCGGAGCGGCGCCGTGCCGCCGTGCCGGCCCTCGATGGCCAGCTGCACTGTCCGGTAGGCCATCGGCAGCACCTCGATCGGCACGCCGCGCTTCCAGTGGTCGCCCAGACGCTGCGAGCGCTTACTGCAACCACACGGCGCGCCGATACCGGTTAAACACGGAGACTCGCTGGCACAGGACGGCTGCCAGGCGACGCTTACAGCTGGTAATAGGAGTGGAAACTAGTGGAAAAGATGCTAGATGGAGAGAACACAGCTCGCGAGTCGCTAAGCATAAAGGGTTCAATGTAGCTGTATTAAATGCTCTCCTGATGTCTGTGCACCGTTCTGTTCCCTGCTCTCCTGATGTTGGTGTTCCATTCTGTTCCCTGCAGACCTCTCCTGATGTATTTATACTGATCTCGGTATATCTGCTCTCCTGATGCGTGTTCGTTTCCCTGGTGTCGGCGTCCCGTGCTGTGTTTCCCTTCTATGGTGTTGGTGTCCAGTGCTGTTTGACCCTCCCCCGATATCAATGTCCCTCTTCCCCGACACGCACACACACACACCTGGTGTCGGCGATGACGACGAAGCGCTGGGCGGCGGCGGCCACGATTTTCTCCTGGGCCAGGCAGCCGCCGCCGCCCTTGATGCAGACGCGGTCCCTGTCCACCTCGTCGGCGCCGTCGATGGCCAGGTCGAGCCGCGGACACTGCTCCAGGTCGGTGAGCGGCAGCGCGCGCGCCGTCACTAGCTGGCGCGCCTGGAACGACGTCGGCACGCACTGGACGCGCAGGCCCTCGGCCGACACTCGCTCCGCTGCAGCGGGCACAGGCGCCCGACGGTCGAGCGTCAAAACCACACCAGACAGTGCACACCAGCAGAGCGGCACTCGGGCAAGCGATTGGCTGCATATCTTGTGGGGTGGAAGAGATTTTTGATTGCATTGCCTTCTTTAATTAATTGCTTTAACATTGTTATTAGTGACAATGTACGTTGATGTTTTAAGTCAAGCTTACTTGTTTCGATTTCACACAATGGCCATTGCCAAATATTATACAGGGTGATCGAAAAAAAGTGTCACCCCTAATTTAAAAGCCATATAACTCGCGATTGGTTGGTCGTATGACTTTGCGCCAGGAAGCCTTGGAAAGAGCATACAATTTCCTTTCGAATGGATGTAAATATGCATGGTTTATGCCGCAAATGAAGATGTAGCTATTCAAAAAGTATGTTAAGGACGCAATTTGGAGTGTTCAAAAGTTTGGTTGTGCAGATTTGTACTTTTGACAGAGTTTTTGATCTGACAGCTCACGTGACAGCTCACGTGAGCATTTTTCTTAACTGTTCCATGGTTACCGCTGCATAAAATTGATAATCCGGTAGTGCAGGTTGCAAGGCCCTATAGGTTGTCGCAATGTTTCGCTAGTTACCGGCGAATTTGTGAATAATGAGGCCGCATGTTTGCAAGGAAGATCTGATAAGGTCTTCCTTGTCTAAGGTCAGCTGAGAAACGAGTCTAAGGTCAGCTGAAAAACAGTCTGCAGTGAACAACATACACTCCATGTGTAATGTGCAAGGTGTGTGTCATGTTGAGTTACGATACTCATTGTTCTCGTTCAGCGGTATCCGATCCCATTCGGTGAATTTCGTTTCACGTGAAAGCCGCACATTGACTGGTTTTTGAGCCCATGGGGACATGATTTGGAATAGAAAACAATTATGAATACATTCAATTGAAAAGAAATTGCCTGCTCTTTCCGATGCTGCCTGGCGCGAAGTCATCCGACCTACCAGTCGCGAGTTATGTAGATTTTAAGTTAGGGGTGACACTTTTTTTCGATCACCCTGTAGTTAGCTTTATTATTACTCACCAAGTCTGTCTACTGCATACACGATAGTAGATCCACTGCCAATGCCAATTTTTTGGTTATCCTGAAGACAAGAGCACATAAGTAGTAGGAGTGAAAATATATATGCAACAGTTATAAAGCTACAAAATTGTTTATGGTTGGATGAAGGAAATTCGCAATTTGAGCACAACATTGAGCAATGCAACAAGAAAGACATTATAATAAAAAATGGCAACATTCATTGAATGCCATGCATGGAAAACCCATGATAACTAACAATAAATGCACCTTCTAATAACACATCAATCTTTGAAACCAAAAATCATTCAGCTTATCAGTTAGTAAGAATAATTATTTACACTCCTAAACAGGGCTGCGGAGTCGATGGATTTTCGGCGACTCTGACTCCGACTCCGTCTTTCAAAAACCAACTCCGACTCAGACTCCGACTCCAGGCAGAACTGTCACTCGGACCGACTCCAACTCCCGACTCCGACTCTGCAGACCTGGCAGGGCTGTGGAGTCGACAGATTTTCGGTGACTCCGACTCCGACTCTGGCTCGGGTTTCCAAAATCGACTCCGACTCCGACTCCGACTTCGGTCACACCTGTCGACTCCGACCGACTCCTACCCCGACTCCGACTCCGCAGCCCAGCAGTTCTGAGGTCCGCAAGTGACATGAAGACCCTGGCAATATAATATAAATGGCATTGGAGTTATGAGTATGCTTGCGTACCTGGACAAACTTGTCAACTGCAATGTAAGCTGCCTTCTTCTTTCCCTCTTCCACAGCAGAACTCATATTTGAGAGTCTGAAAAAAAATGTGTCTGGTGAATACTTTTTGATCCGAAGGGGATGCATTTCAGTACAAAGCAAAGCAGAGTGATGGCATGACTAACAGAATATTCCACGATAGATCGACCAAAGCCGTACACCCTCATATTTTATTTTTTGCTTAAAATTGGTCTAATGGGTTGTGATGGGCGGGGAAGCCAGCTGTGGCAAGGATTTTTTTCTTCGAACAACGGTTTCCGAGATATAGCCTCAGGCAATTCCTGGAGGTCACGCTGCAACCCTATGTTTGGCGGCTTATAACTCAGAAACTATTGGTTTTCTATGGTAAAAACTTTATATGGTTCAACTCGCAATCTACCAAAAAACGTTTTGGCTATCTCAGGTTTTCGATTTTTGAAAATTTTGATCACGTGATATCTTGACCTTTTTTTCGAAGAGTGACCTTGATATTTTCCCAACTGAAAGTCGCAATTATGTCTGATGACGATTAAAGCCTTATCAATTGTCATTCATATGCGAAAATAAAAAAGTGGCTATCGCCCTGCGTTGACCTCAGGTCAGGTCATTTTTATGACCTGTCCATTATTACGAGCGGGAGCGACGCGAGATCTCGAGAATAAAGCAAGATAGCGACAAGCGGTAAACGGTACAGGATTCACACGGATAAGGTCTACAATTTTTACGGAGGTTATTTTCAGGTTAGGTCAAAGATGACGTCACAGGGGTAAAAAGGAAGTCAAAATAGTTTTGGCTGTACCTTTTGATCAAATAAAGAAAGAGACGTGGAACAGGCACCATTGTGTTTGCTTTCGCCTAGCGCCAGTTCGTTTTGAATTTCAATACCGATGACCCAAGATCAGGTCAATTTCTTGACCACCCCATTATAAGTCAATTGGGGAAAAATCAGCTCCCTTGTTTTTACACTAAAACGCGTTGGAATTGCCTAATATACCATGAGTGACTTCATATACGACTAACTTTGACTACCTAGAGACCTTTTTTGCTCTTGGTCAACTGTGACGTTGCTCTTGGGTCATGTGACGTCATTAAAGGTCACCAAATGTTTTTTTTTGCTAATAACTCCTTACAGGTTTAAGATACAGCCGCGCGGATAGGCTCATTGCGTTCAGCTCGTCAAGGCCCATCGAATGATATATATGATGACCTTAACCCTCGCCGGCACAGGGGGGGGGGGGTTGATGCAACCCCCCCCCTAAGGTTTTTCGCGAATAACTCGCGTAAAAAGCGGCCGATCGCGACGAAACTTTCAGTACCCTCGCATTGATCAATTTTACACCTACCCTGAAAATTTCATGACCCTGACCCCAATGACCTTTGACCTGTGACCTCTTTTCCGAGACCATGTTTGGCCGGAATCGCGATTCGGCGTATGTCGGCTAACATTAGCCGCGCGTTTGCAAGCTTTTTGTGGTTTCAAACGTTCAAACATGTGATTTGATGTCGCTCCCATACATTAGGGTGGGTGTCAAGGTCACCTGAAGGTCAGGTCAGGTCATTGACCTTTGGTGACCTCGGTTGACCTCGGTTCACTTTTTCGAGTTTTACATGTTTCTAGGCTAGTCTTTGGAGCTGAATTCGAATTTGGCAACCATTTGAACATTTACGAAGTAGTTTTAGTGCCTTCGTAACATGTTACGAAGCTGTCAGAGGCGGTTGACACGTATTACGAATACCCGTCACAACCCCTACCGGTTGACCTGACCTGACCTGACCCGACCTGGTCTAAATGCTTAAAGACATCATCTCTGATCAAAACTAACACGATATTCGTGATCAGCACCCCGGAAAACCACATAGCAGCCACAATTTACGACTTTCTAACAGGTCCCGATTTTCCCGGTTTTCGGGTCATTGACCTGACCTGGAAGGTCACCCGATGACCTAGGACCTTAAAACTGGGTATCATCGGCTTCGTCTCGTGACGGGCAGCACGCTCGTTTTTTCTGCGAAGCTCTAGCTCGATCAGGGGCCAAACGCGAGGGGGGGGGTCGTACCAACCCCCCCCCCCCCTTGTGCCGTTAAAGGACGCAAAATGGCCTGTGTCGGCGAGGGTTAAGGTCACGTGACCTAAGATCAACTTTTGACCTTGACCTTTCGAGGTCAACATACACATGTTTCGATGTGGATCGACGAGAGGATCACGATGGTGCTATTAGTTTGTTCCTAGCTGGGGCACTTTGAAAGTTATTCGAGAAAAACTTCATTTATATGTAGTGCCGCCATTAAAGGTAGACTGCCACCTTTTTTCCACAAAACGGTTTTCACTAGAGCTGAGCCACCTATGTCCCAGACTGAAGTCGGTTTTCCGAAATTCGAACCCGTTTGCGAGAAATCGGAGACCAAAGTTCAGTTTGATGCCATTTTTTTAGTCCAAGAAAACCGACATCTCTACTGTTTATCGATAACTTTGAAACATGAATTTTCTTATCTTTTGGTAAATATATGTCAAAACTTTGATTGTTTCGAGATCAGAGAAGAATTTTGGAGTGTCAAAATAAAAGTTAAACTTGTATATTCAGTAGTTCATTTTTTCCAAAAAAGTGTGGGAAATGGGGTTTAACATGGGCCAGACCCATTCCAAATGAGCCATGATTTTTTTAATGTTTTACGAACTTAAATGCAAAATAAATTAAACATGGCCAATTTCTCATGAAATCATATATTAGTAAATCATAAAATACCTTACTTTTTCAAATAAAATGTAATAATCTTATGACCTTGAAGTCTAGTGATGTGTAAACATTGTCGCTAGACATTAACCGATTGATAATTGTATGAAAATCGACAATTTTTTTCGCGATTCACGTGATGATACTTTGTCAGGTGAATTCTAAAATTTTGTTTTGTCCAGGGAATAAATCATAGGCCGATCTGAGAAAACTTTTTGAATGTGGCAGTCTTCCTTTAAGACATTCTTTTTACCCCTGTGACGTCATCTTTGACCTGACCTGAAAATGACCTGAGTAAAAATTGTAGACCTTATCCATGTGTACTTTGTGCCGTTTACCGCTTGTCGCTATCTTGCTTCGTTCTCGAGATCTCGCTGTCGCTCCCGCTCGTAATAATGGGAAAGTCATAAAAATGACCTGACCTGAGGTCAACGCAGGCCGAAAGCCACTTTTTTATTATCGCATATGAATGACAATTGATAAGGCTTTAATCGTCATCAGACAAAATTGCGACTTTCAGTTGGGATAATATCAAGGTCACTCTTCGAAAAAAGGTCAAGATGTCACGTGATGAAAATTTTCAAAAATCGAAAATCCGAGATAGCCAAAACGTTTGTTGGTTGATTGCAAGTTGAACCATATAAAGTTTTATGTAGTTAGGATTTTAAATACTATTTCTTCATATAAAGTTTTTACGATAGAAAACCAATAGTTTCTGAGTTATAAGCCGCCAAACATAGGGTTGCAGTGTGACATTCAGGAACTGCCCGAGGCTATATCTCGGAAACCGTTGTTCGAAGAAAAAAATCCTTGCCACAGCTGGGTTCTCCGCCCGTCACAACCCTTTAGATCAATTTTAAGCAAAAAATAAAATATGAGGGTGTAAATTTTATTTATTTTTGGTCGATCTATCGTGGAATGCCCCAGAAGCAAGTTGCTACATGATACACCTCTAAGTTGTTTTCCTCCCATGAACCCCAACAAATGTCTAGCTGGCAACAAATACAGCATTCACGATCCATAATCCAAAGAGAGCCTTACACTGGCTGTGAACATCCCTTTAAAACATTTACTGAGTACCTGCCTATGCTTGCATTGCAATAAAGCTGCAAACCACCACTATGCTTATCAAAAATGGTAAAAAAAGTATGAGAGAAAAACTTATTAAACTCTATAGCAGATAAGAATACCCATATAACTGACAAGAGCAATGCTATCCTTATTTTTGACCTGCTAAAAGTTATTTGGATGTGCATTTAAGAGATCTGGACAACATTGATAGCATGTGATAGATTGATAGCATAACATCAATGTGAACATTGGTAACATTGTGATTCAGGTAATTCAGATGTCCAAAATCAAGTTGACAGGCTCTACAGATAAACCTTATAACACCATAAAACTTACCTGACTATCAAGGAATAAGGTTTGACTGACAGCCTTGTGCAAAACCACAGTGAAAACATAGTACCTTATGATAACTGCTGCTGCAAATGAGGTTGAGCATTAGTATAAGCATATCTAATGCTAAAATGTCCATTAAAAATTAAAAGGGCCTCATCCATCCTATGCAAAGAAGGTACTTTCATTCCATAGGAGATAGGGTGAGTGTTCAAATATTTAAGTCACCATTTACAAATTCAACAAAAAGCATCAAACAAAGAATTATATTGTCAAACATCCTCTTATACATATTGAAATGTTCCCACAGGAGAATGATAGCCCCTAATGGTAAGCCAGACTGGAAAACATCCATACACTACGCCGGACGTCCGTGAGACCAGCTTGCGCCCGAATTCAGCGCAAGCGATTTTGCGCTGAAATTTCTGCGTGATTTGCGCAAAAAATTAGATGCCTATTTGTGCGAAAATTGAGTCCTTTTTCATATAAAGCACATGTGCTAATCTACTGACCAAGGCTATATCAACTAGACAGAGGGTTTCGGGGCTTTGTACGCTCTCCCATGTTTAGCATCCGAATGAGTTTTATTTCCACGTAAACCAATACCTCGGCGGGAGCCAGCGAGGGCCGGGCAGCGGAGCAGCACGTGCTCTGGCACATCAGCCTCTTCTCGGCTCACGGTGCAGACCGCCGCTGGGCATCGCTTGTCTGGGCACTGCTGGCACGCGGCGGAGTGCAGACAGCCGATTCGGTGCCGTACTGGAGCGAGTGGCCCCGGTGGCCCGCCCTCATCTGGTGCACCGAAATGGCATCCTCTCGGTCCTCTCCGGGGATAGGGAGCGGCGGCGTGGTCCCGAGGAGTGGCTTGAATAATGATTCTGAGCATTTGTCGCGCCACTGATCGAGGCCGCACAATGAACCGCCCTGGTCAGCGATCGGGAGTTTGAGGGAAGGGCGGCCGCCAGTTTTACCAGGTCGTCCGCACTCCGCACTCTCATTCCCCTCGATACTGCAGTGGGCAGGAACCCACTGCTATTGCTTGACGACACTTGGCGACGTTCAACAAGGTTTTCCATAGGTACCTATCTCTACGTCGAAGGTTGAGGCCTCACCTGGGCGGCCGTTCCTCGGCTGAGTAGACTCAGGGCGGCTCGCCAGTACGAGCACGCGACAACCGGGGCAGGGACGTCTCGTCCCGCAACCTCTCCAGAGCCGCCCGCGAGGCGAATCTGCTGCTAGATTGACCAGCGTACCGCATAAATTTGGTGACCGTCTTTCGGCAAAAAATTATGCGACCGCCGAAATATTTGTCCGCCGTCATGCGCTGAATTAAACGCATGCGAAGTCACACTGAAGGTGCGCTGAAATTTTTGGTGCAATCCCGCCTACGCTGGACATATTTGGCATACCTAACATGTATTTTTTCCAGTCTGGATGGTGAATATGGATACAAGAATTCCCAGTTATGAGCACATTTGGCAATGTTTCTTTTCTGCACTAAAATCAATTTCAGCATCCACCTGCTTACTTACGCACCTTTACACTATTCACATTCAAATCCACTTAAAATTTACAGTATCAGTATTGGTATGGGCACACAGCATGAACGCTGTGTAGAATCAAGTGGTTTAATCAAATGAAAGCATTGACAATTGAATATTTTCTTGATATTGGCAGGAGGTTAAGTTACCAAAAATATTTTTAGATTGATATTGTCAAGTATTTTATACAAGAACCATACTGATACAATAACAAAATCATCGAAATCACGGTATTAGTATATATTAGGTCCGAGTGGACAATTGTGACGCTGTTGATACAAATATGTAACAGCAAAAATTTTAGGTTTTAGGTTAGGTTAGGTTGTAGGTTTGTAGGTTTTAGGTTTTAGGTTGTAGGTTTGTAGGTTAGGTTAGGTTAGGTTGTAGGTTTGTAGGTTGTAGGTTGGTAGGTTGTAGGTAAGTAGGTAAGGTTAGGTCAGGTTTGATTATGTTTTTCTTTTATTTCCAGGACATATAAGTATCATTTTTGGATTCAGGATGTCAAATAATGTAAGAATATGAAAACTTTATCTTTTAACAGTCACCCGGACTTAATGTATACTTTTACCGAAATCACTACCCACCTAGGCACCTATTTTGATTTGATATTTCAGGGCACAGCCTGGTACTTTGCTGGTACTTGACCTGGTGCAGAACAATTTATGTGTTTATCTTCAATCGTCACGATTCGACCGTAATAATTTATGACCGTGTTTTGACCAGCAGAGACCGCCGCGCACCGCCGCGCTTGATTACAAGGCGAACAAGGCCCGGTATATAGGGCCTTGAAGGCGAAGGTGTGCGGGAGGCGTATTTACAAAATGCAACCGAGCTCCGCCGTGGGGTAAGGTGGGCAGGGGTTTTCGCACTACGGCTGCGGTTGAACTACCGTCTGTGGTAGAAACTTCAGTACGATGGCGCGTTTCATACGAAATGTGGCGCAATGTTTGTTTGCTTCTGAACTTGAACAGGTTATTGCTGTGAATTTTTGGAGTGGGAGTGTTTCAATAACAATTTGTGGATTATTTGAGTTTCTTTACAAGATGATGTGTAAAATTTCAAGATTTGTGGGAAAGCTTGTGACTGAAGAACGAAAACAGTTCTATATGATGGCTCAATCAAACATGGAAATGGATGACAAAAGTAGAGTTTCAACATTCCAGCATGTGAGAATAACTTCAGAAATTCATAATTCTTGTAGTATCTATTGCATTCTTCTTATGTACAATTGTACAGTTATGGGTTTTGTTAGGGTATTTGAAATTCATTGTGTCAGTTGAGATATAGATGGATTGCGGACAAATTTTAGAATCATTGCATGGGAGCTAGGTGTAAGGTACTTGTTTGGTTAAAAGGTATGTGATGAATGCCATGAGAAGGTTTTTTTATGATTTAATATATGGTCGTTGTTGTACCTACAAAAATGCAAGCTTACTAGCAACTAGTTTCTGAATCAAATTGAAAGTATTTGCCATGAATGTAAATATGTACCTGCAAAGTATGTCAATAAATTTGTGTGATGTTACCAGAGAGCTTTATCATCTGGGCATTTATGTCGCTTCTTACATTAGGTGTTAAGCATAGTATAATTACGGATGAACTTTGTGCCAATATCTTCAATGCAGTGCACAATGTATGTAGCATGTCTACAACCCTCACTGATCCTGCTATAGCTATAGGCATTTGGCACCAGCAAGACCAAGGGCATGAACTTCACAGTTGCTCAACCTTTTGTCATGTACCACCAGTCACTTTTTTACTTAAGGTGCACACAGCAGTGCACACAACAATGTGCAGAGGGCCTACACAAAAACAACATGATTAGTGTGCACTATGCACAGGATTGTACCCTGATTATTTGAATATTTTGATCACTCAACAGTCAACAGTCAGGAGATAATTATTATATATCACATTTATTTATTATACATCACTCGTCAAACAAGAGCATGATGACACACATTTTGACAAGCACTCATGGACTCAGGGCTGCGGAGTCGATGGATTTTCGGCGACTCCGACTCCGACTCCGGCTTTCAAAAACCAGCTCCGACTCCGACTCCGACTGCGGGCAGAATTGTCGACTCCGACCGACTCCAACTCCCGACTCCGACTCCGCAGACCTAGCAGGGCTGCGGAGTCGACAGATTTTCGGTGACTCCTACTCCGACTCCGGCTCGGGTTTCTAAAATCGACTACGACTCCGACTCCGACTCCGGTCACAACTGTCGACTCCGACCGACTCCGACTCCGACTCCGACTCCGCAGCCCTGCATGGTAGTATTCCAATAAGTTGGACAGTCACCTCCCTGGGCGTCATTTTTCCAGGAAGGTACCTCTGCAGGTGTTGTGGTAGGCTAGGTTGAATTGGGTCAAGTTAGGCGAAGTAAGGTGGTTAGGACCCGGTCAGACCGTAAGGCCTGATCAGGTTGGTTTTAATCTTTCATTCTAATTTGACATAGATACCTATTACCTATGTTTTTGCTCCAGCCTGAATTTCATTAGGTAATGAGTTAATTTTGCTTTGTTTTTATCTGTCTTGTTTTGTGTTTTTGTCCCTTATATTTTGCCCCATAGGCAAGGGTGGAGCTTTTCCAAGGAAGGTGGTGGAGCATGATTGGAGGCGCTCAACCACACGGCATAGGAGGGCACGGTTTCTGAACGCGCACTGATGCCTGATTCAAGCCACGCTGTCTTCATGCGTGGCAGCGCGCTACTTAAAAGTCCCTAAAAGAACGGGAAGTGATGCCGATAGAACCTTCAATCATTCTGGGCTAACGCTTATGACTTGGAAAAAGTCGCGATCCCAATTCAATCGAAAACCTGTGGGCTCTTGTTTAGCAGGAGATGTATGAAGAGCCACCCGCCATAAGCACTGTTCAACCGCAGGCACAGGTTTAGACGGCGTTGGTCCGCATCAAAGCCAGTGTGCTGGAGAATCCATTGGCTGAAATGCTCCAGAACATTCGCCACTGTGTGGGTTCCTCATTTCCTCTCTGACTGTCCTTTGAAACCACTCCAAAGATATGCAGAAACCAACGAGGTGAGTATACGAGGTAAGTAAACTGTGTTTTTTATGAAAGGTGGCTACAAGCTCAGTTAAAAGAAAAAGTACCAGATTGTTTTGCTTTTACAGCGGGAAGGAAGGTGTCCGGATAATTTTGTTACACCCCCTGTGATGTTCGAATGGTTGCTAAATTCGAAATCAGCTCCAAAAACTAGCCTAGAAACATGTAAAACTCGAAAAAGTGAACTGAGGTCATCAAAGGTCATTGAGCTGACCTGACCTTCAGGTGACCTTGACACCCACCCTAATGCATGGGACCAGCATCATATCACATGTTTCAACGCTTGAAACCACGTGTGAAGACTGCAACCGCGCGGCTAATGCGAGCCGACATACGCCGAATCGCGATTCGGGCCAAACATGGTCTCGAGAAATAGGTCACAGGTCAAAGGTCATTTGGGTCAGGGTCATGAAATTTTCAGGGTAGGTGTAAAATTGATAAAATCGGGGGTATTGATAGTTTCGTCGCGATCGGACGGTTTTTACGCGAGTTACTCACGAAAAACCGATAAAGCGCACCCAAAAAGGCAGAAATATGCACATGCGATATCCTATACTGCGAAAAAAGGTGCATCATTTTTGAACGTCGCCAACAAATTGTAATTACCCTAAGCTCAGGCAGATGTATGGTAGAAAATCCCCCAAGTGAAATACACTACGGCGGAAATAAAATACCCTACGGCGGAGCTCGGTTGCAATTTGTAAATACGCGTGCGGGAGAAACCGCATGCGCCGCTATCGTCTGAAGCGCGTCTTTCATGTTTCATATAATGATACCATATTTTCTTTTAATTCCTTCATCCAGGATTAGATTTTGTTTTCGTAGCGTATTTGGAAATTCCGACCTCGACGAGCGGCGTATTTGGAAATTCCGACCTCGACGAGCGTCTGTGGTAGAAAACCACCACTTTTGTAGGGGAAACTACTGCGGTCTGCTACTATTTGCACTGCACGTATCGCTACAGTTGCGACATCAATGCTATACATATAAACCGCGACATCTGCGCGCGCTGATTCTAGGGGGTCGATTTTAGTGTGTGTGTGGGTGGGGGGGGGGGGGGTCGAGTGGACCTCCCCACTCGGTTTTCGCGAATAACTCGCATAGACCCGGGAACATGGGGGGGCAGCGGGGGCGCTTGCCCCCCCCCCCCAACTTGAGAGCCGAGGGGGCGGCGCCCCCTCAACATTGAGGCAGCGAGAAAAGATCTTTCCTCCCTTTTCCGGACTTTTTTCCTTCATGTTTCCTTTATACATGTACACATCAACACATGGCATTTTCCTTGCCATCTGAATGGTTTCTGCTGATACAGTTAGGTATCGATTTAACCCGCGCGGGGCTGGGGTCTCCAGCCGAACGCGCGGGACTGGGGGGGGGGGTAAATTTTACCCCCCTGTTATCTCCCGAACTAATGGTCCGATTTGGAAAATTCAAACGCCAATCGAAAGATCTCATCACGAACAACTAAAAGCATGTACTTAATTTTAAGTTTGAGGTCAAGGTCAAGGTCAGGTCAAGGGTACAAATTGCAAGTTCCTACGGTATCGGCCTTGCACCGTAGTTGCCGAAGAATGGAGTCATGGACTGAGACTGATCGCCCAAAACGTGTTCTTAGGCTACCAAGACAATATTCGTTGCATACAATATCATTCAGAGGTCAAGGTCAAGGTCAGGTCAGGTCAGGTCAGGTCACCAAAAACAAAATATAGAAAAGGGCATGTGCGACACATGTTTTATGGGTCATTTTAATCATAGAATTCAATAGGCACACTCAATAAGTGATATGGACCACCTCTGGATGAATTTCAGGTCGAGGTCAGGTCAAGGTCAGGTCAAGTGAGGTCAAATTTTGAAGTTGGTTGTTAAGGCCTAAAAAGGTGTCTATCTGATGCAGTTTTTCACGGCGAATCGAATGGTGCTATTTTTGTTTCCGTACAAGGTATAGAACTTCCAAAAAAGTCATTTTTCAATTTTTTTGTGTGTCGTGACGTCATAAAATTTTGAATAACTCCCACATTTTTTAACCGATTCTTCTAAAAATTGGTATGTAGGTGCACATAGACCACTTCTCTGACATATATTCCGGTTTTTTCAATACACTCAAAATTTTAGATTTTATAGTTATTTTCCCCCAAAAATTAAGTTTTTTGGAAAAATTTGATCAAAATCCAAAATTTTCAAAAAACCGAGATAGCCATTTGATAAACAAAGTAGAATTACGTATAGGGTAACTGTGGGGAAAACGCACCCCTGGGTTAAACGCCTCCCCTAAAAAAATCGTAGATCTTATCGGCGGATAGGTGTTTTATCCTGTCTTTCAGAACAGTCAGCTGCTTGTTTACGTAGTTCTCTATTTCCGGTTCTGCGTCTTGGGGAGCAGCGTGGGTAGGTGCTGATGTTGGTTTTGGCTGTTGTTTTTGTTGTTTTTACAGAAGATTCCTAAGCTTTTGATGCCCTCTTTATTTCACAAAACTTGCTATTGTGCACATCACTCAAAACTGCGTTTTATTGTCATTCTGTTGAATTTATTATGCTGTGGCGTTAGTGGCGCGTTTTTTGTCAATATTTTGTTGACCGGAAATGGAGTGGATGGGGAAAGACGCCTACTCGATGCATGGGGCAAGACGCCCCTAGTTTTCTGAAAGGGGGGCGTTTTGCACGGTGGTGAGAGTGCAGGGTAGCGCCCTATAGGTCGGGGCCGAAAAGG